CAAACCCTGTTGTCATGTTTTGGAAACCTGTTCATTTCCTAGCTGAAGTTGGGCATCAACATGGGAGCGTGCCTTAAGTGGCCACTCCAGGAACCTTGCTTGCATGCTAATCATGTTATTCTGATGATAATTAGTCTCAATATTTACTTCTTAACAGACAAAGCTACGACATCAGTATTGTTGCCCAGGTGGACCAGACAGGATCAAAGTCCAGCAACCTCCTGGACTTGAAGAACCCCTTTTTCAGGTGAGTTTATCCTGACCACAGCAAACACAGCCAATCTGCTTTGCACTATTGACACAGTGTCTGGTGTCAGTGAACAGTCTTCTCTAACTTCTTATATCTATTTTTATCTATGTGCAGGTACACAGGCACTACCCCCAACCCCCCTCCTGGCTCACACTACACCTCCCCGTCTGAGAACATGTGGAACACAGGGGCAGCCTACAACATGAGTCAGGGGATGGCTGTATCAGGTGAACACACTCAGACACTGCTAGATTAAGTAAATACTTCAGACATGGCGTGGTATGTCCATTCTCCATATCCCAGCTGTCTTAGAGCAGAGGCAGAGTACACCCTGGACAGGTAGCCAGTCTGTCGCAGGGCTAACACAGAGAGACAGACAATCACTCGCACTCACAGGCACACCTGGGCAATTTAGGCCAATTAACCTAACCCCATTAACTGCATATGTTTGGACTGTGGGAGGAAGCCAGAGAGGAACCACGCAAACACGGGGAGAACAAACTGCAAACAGAAAGACCACCGTGCTGCCACACAGAGACCAAAGAACAACAAGACTGAGAATTAAATGCATTGGATGGTGCTCACTAATCATGATGACAGCGATGAAGACCAGGAGCTGAAACACGTTGGTCAAGCGATGAAGTTGTTCTGTATAGTAGTGTAGCTGCAGCGGTTCTTCAGATTTGTCCTCTTCTCTGGGCTTCTTGGAAGTAAGACAAACGTCTGCTTTAGTAGCAAAACTCCAACGTAGAAACAGGAAAGACTAAATCAGTTCAAACCAGTGTGAGCCAGTGTAAAAACCAGTCTGCATGAATTTATTATAGTACACATGCCTGAAATTTCATGCACATCTATTCTATAGCTTCATTAGCTGGGAAGAAGAACCTGGGAAGAAGACTGTATATAATGATGGACATAGCCAGGTGTGAGTCACTTTGCCCTGGAGCTAGATTGAAGTCCAGAGTTACGTCTTGTAGTCAGCACCAGCTTTTCCAGCTGTAACTGTGCAGATACAAGAGGAAATGCTAGGTTACAGCTAAACTAGCAACATATGCTAATAGACTGTTTGTTTGTTTGTTTGTTTTTAAAGGTTGATTGTTAGTTTAAAACAGTTTGTTCTAAAATATTTATGAGGAATGAACAGCAACAACATCCTGTCTGAAACCTTAAACTTCCAAATGTGCAGTGCGGCCCTGCAGTAGAAGGACTTCCTGCCATGTTGCATCACTAACTACTTACCAACTCCGGCATCACATTTTAAGATCACTTCCACTCTGGATGTGTTCAGGAACCAACCCCAAAGAGTGTTTTTTTTGACGGTTTATAGTAAATGCTGTTTTTTGGGTTTCTTTGCTGCCTCTTTCTGCAGGGATGCCCGCAGCTTATGACCTCAGCACAGTCATCGGCAGCGGCCCGTCAGTGTCTCACAACAACCTCATCCCCCTGGGTATGAATCTCATCTGAAAAATCATCATTTTACTGTTACTGGAGTGCATCATTCCAGCTCATCAAATCACACTTAACTCTTTTAATGTTGTTTTTTAATTTATTTTTTTTAACCCCACTCTGTTGTTTCGGCTCCTCTGAGCAACATCAAAGGGCTTTTAGTTTGAAAACGTTTGAAAGTACTCAGTTATAGTTTAGCTTTTGATTTTAGTGATATTTCTGATGTTTACATCAGAATACAGCTTTTAGTCTGTGTTGGGACCCAAATTACTGCAGATTTTTGTAAAGCAGCTGATGTGGCTCTTTCACAGAAAAGGCATGCGTTTATTGCACTGGTGAAATGGTTTGTCACTCCCGATGCTACTTGGTTTTAACAGTGCTTTCATCTCTGATTGGTCACAGTGAACACAGGGATTGTAAATCATACCCACTCCAGGATGGGCTCAATCATGAGCACAGGAATTGTCCAGGGTAAGCCCACTGGTTCACAAACACAAGTTTACTGTCCAAGTCTTCTCAGTGTGAGCGTTGACTGTTATGCTTTGTTTCCAATTTAGGAGCCACTACGGGTCAGTCCGGCCCCAGTAGCAGCGGTACTTACTATCCTGTCACCAACCAGTTCACCATGGGGGGCGCTGCCATCTCCATGGCCTCACCTATGGTCATCCCTAGCAACACCATGCATTATGGCAGTTAAGATGAAGACCTCGCAAAGACCTCCTATGCCCCCGCATGAGAAGAATCCCCCTCCCCCCTTCCCCTCCCCAACCCAGATTGATCACCAACTGCAGCCAAAACCAGTATACCAAAACCAGCTCTGTGCTGGAGATTCCTTTTTGTTCGACACCCTCTTTCTGCTGTTGAATCATCGCTAGATGAACGGTTGAAAACTCTCGTTTCCGTCCAGACTCTTGTCTTTCCGAAAGCCGAAGCCTTCCTTTTCCCCCTCCCTCACTGGGACTGTATCATCTGAGATGCACAGCAGTTTATCATCTGACCTCCCTGGGTTTCCACCCTCCTTCAATATGTATTTCAATCCCTCCACCTCCCTTATTTTCACTTTATAGCTCATTATTTAGATGTCACGACCCTGCGAGTGTTTGTCTTTCCTCAAGAATCCGCTTGTTGTCAGATACCAGCATCGGTCCGCTCCCGTGGTTCTCCACACCTCCACACCAGTGATGCTGAAGCTTTTCACTTGTGCAGTAGGACACTGTAATCATGATCATCATCACTGCGTCTCTACAGGTGCCACCTTAGCTTTTCATACTGGATCCAGCCAAGTTCCCTCCACACTTCCCCAGAGACTGAGCTGTGCCGAATGAAACAGCCCCCTCAAATCATTAAACAAACGGCATCTTGCTTACTCCTACTCATACAGTTTGGGTTTAGGAGGAGGAGGATGGATCACAAACTGAAGCCATCTACAAGTCTTGGCACCCAGAGGAGGAGAAATATTTTTTTTGTGTTTTATTGTTTTGTTTTTTTTAGTGGCTTGGACAGGCTGACCCTCAGAGTTCTGCTTGGAAGCATCGGTGTTGCTCTATCACCTTCCATGCTGAGTCATGATAACGGAGCGTCTCAGCGTCTGCTATAAGTTGCTGTTTGTTGACATCACCAGTCTTTTAAAATGATGGCATTCTCCAATTCAGACAGGTTACCTTTCCGTTAATGTTGTTCAGCGTCTCATTCAGACAAATCCACAATATGTACACAGCGTCGCCCGTATGTGGAGCCAGCACTTGACCCCATTTCTAAATGTTTAGGTCTCTCTGCTGTTGTCAGAGTTGTAACCTTGTGTGTTTCTATCAGTAAATGTGACTACACTGAGACTTGTGTGATGATATAAGTGATGCGTAAATGTTTCTAGGCCTTATAAGATGACTCACTGTGGTTAATATCTGAACAGGAAACTTGAAGATGCCCTCAGGTTAATGGAAAAGAGCGACTGAATGGTTGGGGCTTTTCAGTAAATGCTCCTGTGTGCGCTGCTTCTCAGTGCTAGCATGATTACTACCATTCATTGCGGCTGCGCGTGCTGTTAGGGTTAGAGTCCTACTTACCCACGGGTGTTGCAGACTAAAGTTGGGATGCTAACTTACCTCATCTTTGCATAATACCACTTTGTTCTACTACTACTTCCTGTTTTTCATATTAAGAAGTAGTAGAACTGTTCAGATTACCGAGTCACACCTTCTAAAAACAGTAGGTGTCTTAGATGGATTTAATATCTTTAGCACAGGAAAATAAAACTTGAGGAATCTGATGCTTTGACGAGCAGCAGTAGGATGCTGTGTCTGCACAGGACATTTCCAGCTCTGTCCTCATTGTGGCATTGCTGGGTTTGAGCACCGTCCAAAGTGAATACAAAAATTCAACAAGACACCATTGGAGGAGTTGCAGGAAGATTTTTTTGTCCAGTCTTTATTTCGTGTTATACAACTGAATTTAGCATGAAGTTCACACATTGAAATTCATGTTTTTAAATCAGAGTTTTAAGGTAAATCTGTATTTGAGCTGATGACCTGTTTGATCCTGTTGGGTTCTTCACATTCCAGATGAACATGTTTGTCACCATTGTAAACGGCTTCAGCTCGATATGAAAGGGTTTCTGATCAGTGCGTGAACTGTACGACACTTAAAGTGGTGGTAGTAGTCATAGATGGTCAGGAGATGGTAAACTTACAGCAGTTCACTCATCCACATCGATCTGTAATTACGGCTCTGTTATAGTAGTCAGCTTTATCCTTGGCTTGCTTCAGAGTTGTGGATAGTTGAACTTGTTCTCGGCCACTTTACAGCACAGAGTTATTTTTGGCGGCCACCAAATTTTGGCTTTTGTTGGTCTGTGGTTGCCAAATAGCTGCTAGCTGCTTGCCATGTCTCTTTAGGGACTCGTGGAAGATTTGATTGTTTCTCGTACCCAACATGGAAGGTGACGGATCGCACAGTCTGAGAGAAGCTAGAACATTTCAGCTCTGTCAGCCTAAAATATGAAATGCACTTTCTGCTGCTCCTCTTGTTTTCTGCACCCAGAAGGTTTTTTGTTTTTTGTTTAAAAATCAGAATAAATTGCAGCAGCTTCTTGCCAGTCAGGCATTTGTTGAGCCAGATTGCTTCGGTGCAGTTGGAGGAAGATTTGGAGAATGAACCAGTAAAGACCAATGACCCAGGATGCAGCCAGCTGGCTAGCGGGAAAAGAAAAGCTGTGCCGGACCGGCAACGTCCTAGTTTACATCTTTGTTTCCTTTGCCTGACGCTCCTCCCAACCTCCCTTTGAGACTGTGAGACTGTCACAAGTAGACTTCAATGACACGGCGAGGGAGAAGGGGCCGGTACGCCTCTCTCCTCGTCTGTTCAATGTGTATGACCTCCAACATATCATTGCCCCAACACACACACCCCTGCCCACACCCCCTTTTTATCAGTCAAGGAAAGAAAGACTGACACATTTATGCATTGCTTCCAGTGTCACAACTATTGGAATTTGAGTTAGTAGGAGTGCTGAGGGGGGAAAATGTCTGTTTGTAGGAATAACCTTTTTGGTTTTCTTGATATTTTTTTTCTTTATTTCACAAAAAAAGCAAACAAGGAAAAAAGCGCAAATTAAATGTTGTGGAAATGTTTCAAAACCATCCTGGAGTCAGGTGTTGTAGTACTTTAATTTGTTACCTTCTACTTTGTTAAATAGACTGTGGATACAACAGATGTTTACCATGTTGTAGCTGCTCTATAGCCATCGTGTCTCTTCTGTCATGGATTCATTGCTCTGTGTAGTCATAGTGGCATCCACTTTGACCATGGAAGTGTATGAGGAAGACTCACTGACATGTTCTCTCATTTGTGTGTTCGCCAACTAGTAATAACACCTTTCTCACTGTCTGACATTGACTCGTCTGCTCCAGACACAGTTAAAAGAAGCCACTGTGCTTAAGACTGCTAAGTGATTCCTGCTTTATGGGTACATTAGTCACTGATGTCACAGTAGGCACCTTTTAAACCTTTAAATGACGCCATGAGGCATCTATTATGGAGCAACGCATGGAAACGACTAATATCCAAGGCAAATTGGTAACAAAATAGAATATAAAAAGTAACTGATCATAGAATCATGACTTAAGATTAGTATATTCTGGCTTGCTTTCAGGAACAACCATAAGATTGCTGATATCGCTCTGTCTTCATAATTTCCCTGTTTAAAAACGGGCAATGTCACTGCTACTTAATTTGAAAAGGGGTCAGGAGGTAATGCTGAAGACAACTTCGAGGTACTTCCAATGGTATCTGCTGATACTGTGGTCTGAAAGTGGTCGGGCGAAAGCTGAATATTATTGGTCCTAATTGATGATAATTGGCAAAGAAAATGTGGTTTATCCATGATGATGAGTATTATTTACAAAAGAAATAATGGGGCGACTCTTATTGGTTAAGCTATTTTAAACATTTATATTGTCTGTGGGTGTTAAAAACATAGCTGTCATGTCATAAAGGCCTCGATAGTTCCACCTTTGCAGTCGAGTGTGTACAAAATCATACGTGAAGAAGGGCGGGTCTAACTGACGGTGCATCGCTTGATTGAGTCATTAGCCATTGAGCTTGTAGTTTAATGCCACAGGAAATCCTCCATTTAAAAATGTGGCCAAGATTTACAAAACAGACTGTTTTTATTCACTGACCCCAAATAAGTGACTCGGCCCATGAACTCCTGGGACACCACAGGAAATCTTTCTGTCACAACCATCCTGGTGCTAGTATGCTAGCAGTTGCTAATTAGTCATCAGTGCTGCGTACAGCTGAAAATAACTGTAATGTCAGATTGCTGATATTTATTCATAAAGCTCGGGGGTGCTCATAAAACCCCTAAGGGTTTTTTATCTAAATAGAAATAGAATTGTCTTTGTTTTTTGTGATGAATACAGCAGGTTGCGACACAGACCTCATAGGAGACCTTCAGGACAAGTGGTGCCTACAAACCAAACAAGGGTCTAAAAACAAAATTAAAAACTTGGGTTTCACAAATGTTTCTAATCTCCAGCAGTGTTCTGAACATGCATGTGTTTATATGTAAGTGTTTTCAGCCGAGCTGTGGGAAAATGAGGAGGATGTATTCAGTTTGAGAGGTACAGTATTGAGGAAATCCACACTGAGGTGTTTGTACTTGAGGTAAGTGTTAAGGACAACGGTTTGGGTGGTTTCTCCTAGACTCACTGGTACAATGCTGTTCCAACAGCCATAATAAAAATACCAGCTACTCCAAATTCAATTGGGTAGCTAGATGTAATTAAAGATGAGAGCAGTACTTACTGAGATCATAAAGTGTTTAAATTTATAAAATTGTATGTGGAACTGGGATTGCGCTCCATTTAGAGCACAGTTGTCGAACTCCAGGCCTGGAGGGCCGGTGTCCTGCAGGTTTTAGTTGTGTCCTTGATCCAACACAGCTGATTTAAATGGCTGAATGACCTCCCCAACATGTCTTGGAAGTTCTCCAGAAGCCTGGTAATGAACTACTCATTTGAATCAGGTGCACTGACATATGGTGAGATCTAAAACCGTGCAGGACTCAAGCCCTCGAGGCCCGGAGTTTGACCCCCCTGATTTAGAAGATCTTTCTCTGGTCTGGAAAAAAGGTTGGGTGTTTTGTTTTTTTTTTTCTTCAAATGCTATTTTTTTTTTTTTTTTAAAAACAAAACAAAAAAAACCCCAAAGCCTTCTGTAAAGGCAGGGCATCTCACATTTTAACATAGATTGGTAGAAACGGTTTGAATCATATCTGTCAAGATTACAGTTTATAGATGTAAATGGGAGTTGCACAAAACGTTCCATGGAGTTACGCTCTTTGGACTGTTGCTTGTTAAATTACACGTGCTTCCCTTTGATGATCCTGTTAGAAAGAAAACTTCAAACACTTTCATTACTAGACGGGTGATACCCAACTTTCTTTATCCATGAAGCCATTTTTAGGAGTTTTCCTTCAGTGTGTTATTTGGCTAACTGTTAAATCAAGAATCCAGTTTAAAGTCCTCCTCACATACGAAATCTTGAACAATCAGGCCTTGTCTTGTCTTACAGATCGCACCTTGTTCTAACAGAGCACTTCCCCCTCAGGGTGCAGGTTACCTGAGGGGGAAGGGATGTTATAAAAGTGGAATAGGAAACATGTTTTAGCTGTCAGGTCTTTCTTCTGTGGAACTAGTTTCCTTGTTTGTTTCTGTACTTTCAAGAGGTCTAGAAGTTTATTTATTGATTTAAAAAACAAAACAATTTTGCTTTCATTCACCCAACTATAGCTCTTAGTTAAGCTGGCTTATGCAGGCTTAAGTGAGTCTGCATACACATTTCTGGTTGGACAGTGGAGGGAGAGGGACATTCACCCAGTCCAAACACGCTGTAAATAAAAGATGGATGTGGTCACCAAGTGATCACCCATTCATTTTGGCACTCCACATGTTAAAGCCTTAAGGCCACCATCATGATGGTTTCTCTGAGCCAGAAGTGATCCTGTTTAGGGACACGATGGAGGGTTGAACGTTAGGGTGGATTACGTTAGGGATTGCCTCTGAGCTGAGGTTTATGGCAAGAGTGAAAGGGAAGGTTTGCAAGATGGTAGGGAAGCCTGGTGCGAAATATGGCTTAAACATTAGGCTGAGCTGGAGGTAGCATAGTTGACGATGTTAAGATTTTTATTGGGGAGTGACCAGAATGGACGGGATTATAAATTAACATATTAGAGGGACTCATCAGTTTTTCCACCTTGGAGACAAAAGTTAGAGAGACGAGACACAACTGTCAGAGAGGAGGAAGACCACAGAGAAGATTCATGGATGTAATGAAGAAGAGCACACAGAGGGTTGGTGTGACCTTGGAGGATGCAAAGGAAAGAATCGGCTTGAAGCAGATGATCTGCTGTGATGACCCTAAATTTACCAGCACAAGAAATATTGTTTGAAATATGAGCTAAAGTTGCAATCATACATTTTTTGTTGATAAGCTCAAATGGAAAAGAAATAGGAAAAACATATAAAAGACTTGCATCAGCTTTGGCTTGCTTCATATAGTGAATCATGTAAGGTTTATATGATATACTCATGAAAGTGGCCACTGGATTCCCATGCAACCAGTTTGGAGGACAGGAACCAGGGACAGAAGCAGAGATTAAAGAGTTGGCCAAAGGTTACAATGCTGAGTTTGATCTCTTCAGTAAGATTGAGGTGACTGGAGACAACGCTCACCCTCTGTGAAAGTGGATGAAGGCTCAGCCCAAAGGCAAGGGAACCCTGGGAAACAACATCAAATGGAACTTCACAAAGTTTCTTATAAATAGAGAAGGACAAGTAGTGAAGAGATATGGCCCAACAGCTGATCCCAGTGTGGTGGAGAAGGACCTGCCCACGTACCTGTAATAATACAGTCTCATCTCCCATGTGTTTATTTATCTTTAAAAAGTTAATATTTACATATCTATTCAACTATGTTCCCAAGATTTTAATATGTACTTTCATATATTGTTTTAGTAAGTATCCAAAACATACAAGTTTTATTTATATGATTTTTCAAGGGATCTTATATCTGTTTTCACTCTTGTATGCTTTTCATACAAGTTTCACACAAGACAGATACAAACTTTATAAGATTTATATATATTTATATAAAGATTTATACATTTTTTCCATATGGGCGAAGATGAGAAAATGGACAGAGACAAAAAACAAAAAGAAAACTCTTCTGTAGTGCATTTAATGTTTAGTGTACACATACTGGTCACGCTCTCTTATCTACCTTGTTTTTCTTAATGGAGCTGGTTTTAATCGTTTTGAATGCACGAGCATAAAATCTTCAGTTGTATCTTTAAATTCATAGTCTGTATGCGTTACTAATATTCTGCTTAACATACAGACTCCTGTGGTTCACTCAGTGTAAGCGGGGCCTATTATTTCTAATATTATTATTGTGCTCTGTTCCAGGAAAGCCTGTTTTAAGTAAATAAAGTACAATTTATCGTGTGTGTGTGAGAGATCCATGCCGGGGCAGCAAGTTTAATCTGGTCCCGTCTCTCCACTGCAATCCTGCAGTGTTATTTATTTTTTATCTGAATGTGGGAAGGCTGCTTTCTGACTCAGATGTAGTAGGCGTTAAGATGATCACGAGGCTGACGGAGTCAGCAAAAACCTCTCACGTAGCTCTGGATGACAAGGGGAAAGAGTAAAAATACATGGGATTTGTTATTCTAAATATTAGCATCAGGCTCAAAAACAATCCTTGTGATTCGAATTATGTTATTTTGTCCTGTTACTTTCGAGATTCTGAAAATGGAGTACATAAGAAAATTATGTGTCCCTTCTTATTTCCAATAATGAGACAAGTTGACGGATTAGGCCAACAAGAGTCTGCACGGATTGATGTTTGCAGACGACATAGTGATCTGTAGTGAGAACAGAGGGCGGACGGAAGAGAACCTGGAGAGGTGGAAGTATGCTCCGGAAAGAAGAGGAGTCGACTAATTAAGGCGGATGACTTTAAATACCTGGGGTCAACCACCCAAAGCAACGAACAGTGCACGAGACAGGCGAAGAAGAGATTGCAGAATGTGTGGAGACAGGTTTACAAGACTGTTGAGAGACCTGCTATGATGGTTTGAAGATGGTGACACTGACATAAAGACTGAAGGCAAAGTTGAAGTTGGTAGGATTTTCATTGGGACAAGATTAGAAATGAGTACATGAGAGAAACAGTTCAGGTGAAGAGAATTGGAGTCCAAGTCAGACGTGCAAGGGTGAGATGGTTCTTGCAGATAAATGACAGTAAATACGCTGGACAAAAGATGCTAAATATGAAGCTGCCAGGGAGAAAAGGGAAGATTGCAGAAAGGTTCATGGATGTAGAGGAGGACATGAGGAGGGCTGGGGTGACAGAAGAGAGGGAGGCCGATGATCCACTGCAGATGTG